AACGAGCACAACAACATTGAAGTGTATGCTTCTTAGCTAGTTTATGGCCATATCATTTACACCTATAAGCACACCACTTGCTCTTGCATGTGAGTGTTCAGTCACCGGTTGCTCCAATTAGATCAGAAAATTGAAGAAACAAATCAGCAACGTTCACAGCCGACGATGCCATGTGTACACCAAAGATAGGGTTTGGATCGGGTAGCTAGTTGGTATGCGCTGTACTAGCTGCAGACTGTATCTCACGCTCACAGATGACACTTAGGCCGCACTAGACACGAAGCATGTCTGCAACATGCCGGGAATTTGCCAATAAGTATAAACAGGTATAGATAGCAGGCCCAATGCGAAACCCATCCTCTGGACATTGGACTCGACCACCCACTGACAAATGACCACCAGATGGACACAACAAACATGGCTGACATACGAGCTACATGTACAATTGCCACATGTTTAAAGAACCTCCCCCCACCGACCACGGGTACACGCACGTATGCACGCACGCACGCAGACACGGAACCATGCACAGTGTAAACTATTCGCTCCCTACGCACATAGCAAACAGATTGCTGAGTACAACGTGCGCGCAAACGTACTGTCATATCGGGGGGGGGGGGATGACAAAATCAATACATGCCTATTCAACGATCACGAATAACATCTCGTAAAAAGTAATCCTTCAGAGTAAACTCTACCGAATGCTTCATGTCGTTCTGATGACACGGAATTTTTTGAGCGAAGAGACCATACCTCCATACCTCCACCCCCGAACTCCTCAAACTGTCTGTGACGAGTGGAGGGAAAGGCAGCATTACTCCCACACGCGTTTAATACACATTTACGATTCTTGATGCGCGTTCGTTCGTACACGTCTTACATGTTTCGGGGGGTTTCTACAGAGGAGAACACTGCGACAGGAAGGGGGAGGGGAGGGGTGATACTAACATCGGCGGTCTTGCAAGCAACCCGGCTGTACAAGTCAAACACATGTTGTGAACGATGTCGCTTTGAACGCGGGCAGAATCGCTTTGCATTCATCGGGGGGCCCTGCTGCCTCCCTCCCTCCCATACACGCTGTCTGGAATAGATTACTTACACTCAGTACTCCCCGAAGGCTAGTATAGCAGTACTGTAGCTCTGCGTATATTGTTAGCTGATCCCACAGGTTACGGTTTCAGCAGCAGAGGTGGTATTCTTTAACCGAGCCCATTTTCCTCCATCCATCTGGTTCAGATTAGGATGAACTCCGTAATCCGGGAGTGAATGAGAAGGAAAGCAACTTATGCAATGTTATCCGGCTGTTCGGACCATACTTGCTGTTGCGGTCAATGTCGCCAACATTATAGACGGTGGCGGGTCGTTTCATCGCCTTCAAACTGCCACACTACCAAACCACGGAGTAGCCAGTCTAGGCATGCTCCCCTGTGTAAACCGCGTGGTCACTGCCCCCTCGGTGTGGTCAAAGAGTTGAGAGCTGTCATTGTGCAAAGTGCATGTGGCAGGGAGGCGGGTGTATTGAATGCTCAACTTCAAATACTTACTTATTCGTATGTTTACCGTATAGAAACCAGTGGGAAATATATATAGATTTCTGTGGATAAGAGTAACAATACAGTGCAAGTACAATACAATACAATACAGCACAAGTCACATATCCGTGAAGAGGCCAATCTCACTCCTATATAATACTACTAGCGGGATACCCGGCGTTGCCCGGGGAAATCAGTGGCGTTATGTTTGTGACCGCTTGGTTGAAAGGAAAATACCCACAAAAATCTAACTATCTATCTATCCATGCATCCATCCATCCGATTCCATGCCATCCCATCGCATCCCATATCCCATCCAATCCCATGCCATCTCATGCCGTGCCATGCCATCCCATCCCAAACAGTAAAAAATAATAAGAAATCAAAAGATAAAAGACATTAAATATATAAAATAATAAGAAATCAAAAGATAAAAGACATTAAATATAAAAAATTAAAATTAAAAAGTATAAAAGTAAAAATAATACATACTAAAGAGGTAGGTAAAGGGGAAAAAAGGAAAAAAGGGAAAAATAAGTTCCCCAGCTGGGACTCGAAACCGGAATCCCGGTGTAGGAAACGGATATTCTAGCGATTAGGCCACTGCGACGTTAAGGGTATAACCATGGATTGATAACTGCCATCTATTGATGAATAGCATTTTTATGAATTTTTAGCTTTTTAACTTTTTTAAATGTTTGTTTCAGCCAGAACCACCTCCCAGACGTGCTAATTCTGAAAATATCTTTGGTTTTCCTCTAGGCTGCGGAGTTCTCTAGTTATGCGAGTACGAACTAATTCGGCTGAACAACTTTATATATATATAGATAGGTAGACGATAACACAACGGAAGAGAAAGTAATCAGAACTATCGACGTACTAATACTATTAAGAAATGAATTCTAGTGTGATGTTGGGATGCGAGAAATATGAACGTGGGCGGGTCCAACGTCAACCTGATTCTAAAGCAAACACACCATCTGATAACCAGTCCGTACAAGTCAAGTTTGATGCAATCCGGCTTGGAAACAAACGTAGCACTCACGACCAACGCAATACTAAAGAATAATAAAGACACACATAGCCCTGACATTGCCCCCCCTTGTCATTAGCCAAAGATGTCAATCACACTTTCGAGCTTCTATTTCCTTGGTCTCATCTCTACCATCATTGCACGGGAGACGTATATGCGAACTCATACAAGGTTACAAACCCTACGCCTCAAACCCTTACAGCAGAGAAAGTTCCACTTTCCCACTCTCAGAATTTCACGTTACAAAGGGAAAACGATCTGTTATAATGTTGATCTACGGACGGACCATTACGGCCGTAAATAGTTATTTGCTCTATGAAACAAGCAAATTAAGGAACAGGTTTTGGCGACTGGCATTGGATCTTCAGGCTGTTGCGCGGCTCAACCCCCACCCATACATTTGCCAATGAAATACAAGTGTCGAACAAGACGCACGATAGAAATGCTTCAGGGTTTACAAAGGCCCCCGCACCTGTCTATACCTTGGCACGTTACAATTGCACAGGTAAATATGATTCAGGTATCTCTCACACACTAGCTGTACTGTAAACAACGCACCACGTGTTACGAGCAGACACAGTGTACAGTCAACATGTTAAAAGGCCCCAATACACAGGTCACATGACAAACACGCGGGCACCATACGCCACACCTACCAAGCACAGAGGAAATACCTCACAATATAGCGTGTGTAAAGTAGTGTTGTACGTATCTCGCGATACCATGCACAGTAGAACCGTAGTGCAGTATAACATCCACAAAACAGTGTACAGTATGTATCTCACACAAAAGTGAGTAGGTGATACCAATGGAGTGTACTACTATAAGTATGTACTACGAATATACTGTTAGTTTTGTACGGTAAATACCTCACACTATACGTTTCTGACTAAAATGTACAGTATGTAGTATGTACACTGTGTGTACAACACATGTGTTGTATATCTATGGTATCAAGTAGCTGTGCAAGTTTGCACATTTTCATGTAAATTAGTTAGTTTTGGTCGCAGCGCGCGCACAGTTACGACTTGTATTGCAATTAGAGTTGCCAATGTTCGAACTCGCACCACGCAAACGTGTTAACGCTCGCTCCGCTAACAGATGTGTGCGTTTACCGCATATAATTCCACTTCCTGCAGCACAAAGGCACACACCTTTAGCAGATCTCCGAGGGTGAAAAGTGCAGCTTAAGAACAATAGTACAATACCTGCCGAGCTATTCACACGTGCGTTTCTGTCTAGGGAAGGTGCGTGTGTTCCCGAAGATGAATAGCTACCTGCTTTCATTGTTGCCCCAAGATGACCCTTTCAAGTAATACAGAATCGGGAACACACGGCCATTTGTCACGAACAGACAACGTGAGAATTTATCTGCACTTACAATGGGCAATGCTGGACAGAGGTTACCAGCTAAAGAACTACAACTAGCAAGCAGTCTGTAACACGCGTAAAACTAATTCTACAGCTGCGCAGCATTTAGCGGTTTTGACTGATTCATAATAATATAAAGTGTTGCGATCTAATTCGTTAATAATATATATATATATAATAATATACATATATAATATATATAATACGATTAATTATAAATAACAGAAAGCTATCAGTTGTAGTTATCTTTGTGCAGGCAATGCATGCGAGGAGAAAACTTGAAAGTGAAAACTAGTTCACGCGCTGAGAGGCGCAAGCACTGTACTGTACTCTGTGTTGAGGCATTGGCTCACATTATACAGCACGCTCAAGCTAACATAGATACTAGATAGCACACACAGAAGCGCACGCATTGGAGTAGGAATGCACGAACAGTTAAGGATTGTTCTTTTTCTATTTTCTGCGTGAATCACATTACCATCAACATAATAAATCACACGGTAATTCAGACACGAGTATGAGCAGTGCACGTAAAGGGTTCCGAGAAATAGTTACACAATATATAGGTATTTTGCGTGTCGTGTATATATAAGCATCGAGTCGTGCTTTAGCCTTTAGTAACAGATTACTGAGGTTACATTACATGTATTTCATACATGAACAGAAAGTCTTGCGTGCAAGACATAACATTTTAAATGTGGATGTGCAGATTGCACGAAAAAACGACGAGGAATTTTGTACATTCATCAAAGAAAAATTCGCGAGCTTCAACATTTTGATATACGCTTAGCCAGTGACGGTAAACAGCACGAGTGCGTAGCAAAATACATCAAGCTGGTTAAAACGACATGGTGTTTTTTACGGTAAAACTCCTATCTGCTGCCTTTGTCTTCAGCACTAATTTCAGCTGATGATCATTAATTTAGGCTGAAAATCGATTGATGCCAGTGGTGCAGTCTACTGTTCGATATTTCACCCGCACCCTGCATCCACACCAACACAGTCGATGGCGGTACACGGCACTCGGGAAATGGCGACAACCATTGCCATAGCGTATCACTCACCGACTTGTAGAACGTTATCCACACATCCAGACTCTAGTAGTCTCACGCCTTTATGGAAGGGTAATTTTTGATAGTCGGGTCCACTGGCTGGTATATTGGATAACGACGAGTACATACAAATGTCTCTCTCATTTCTCGGGAACGACCAGAAGATGATTCGTTGTTGAACTGGTTCGGGTATCCGCGAAACTCTCTCTTCTACACGTTGAAACGGCACGTTAGTAGCCGTAGCTTTTGCACAGATATCTAGTAGAGATTCTGGATTCATTGTTCGTACTTTATCGGGCACTGTCCCGGCTGCAGAATCGGCCCTATGGCGGATATTCACAGCCGGGTTGGACAGACACATTCGCCTGCTCGCCGCCATACAATCATCTGTGATTATGCTGTTCCCATTGAACTAGAAACGCATGCGTGGCGCGCCCAGGTCACGCTATACCAGTTCAGGGCTGGGAAACCCCCCTCTGAGAGACGTATGCCCCTACCTATGGACATAATATATTCTAAATAGACCTCACATGACCTGTACTTGACCTGCTTTAGGAAAAACAAAACAAAGTGGAAGTAACATACTGGCATAAAATAAACTTAACATTGCGAGGTATGGCAGCTGAAGCAGAAAATGTACTGATGTAGTTACTACTACTAGTGTACGTAACATTAGTTCATATGTGGTGGGCTTATACGTGTTGCCATGATAGTGTACATAGTATAGGACACGAGATACATAAAGGCATATATATATACTATCGAGCGTACAAAGAAGGATAACATTACGCTCTTGATACTATGAACATATCCATCCTAAGATATGCTGCAGTATTGATTCCGTGTAGGCATAATATATATTTGATATTATTGACAGATTAGTATATTTTGGGACATATATTATTGTAAATATCATCAATTTCAGTTTTATACTGCCTGATGATATCTTGTTTTGCAAAATTTATTTTAATTGTAACGTTGTTAACACTAGTTTTGCAATAAACCTATTAACTATCTATCTACTTATGGACAAAAACTGTAAAAACGAATTTCGATACCCAAAAGAAAAAATTCAATAGAACTTAGAAAGCATATAGCAGGACACCTACCTTTTACCCAACTCTAACGTTGCATGAAATAAAATTCTTTCTTAGGATCAGCTAGAGAATTAACATTAATTGTCTTGAATTTTTTCAATTTAATTTATAATACATTAATTGTGAGTATAAAGCATTGCACGGTTCAAGCTAGGTGCTATATGCCAGCTATAATAGACCAAAATCTATCGTTTCACCCTTTGTTGTTTCACATTCATAGTCACACTGCTGGACAAAAACCGTTAGCATGTAGACAAACTAGAAACGATTTCGTCTGAAATTTAATGACGTGTATGTAATGCGTGCGTGCGTGCGTGCGTGCGTGCGTGCGTATAGCTGCTTATTTCTGTACATGCATATATATATATATATATATATATATATATATATATATATATATATATATATATATAGACAGAAAGAGAGAGAGAGACAGATGTTCTAGACCCTGTAACTAGACATATAATTGCATAAATTGTCGCAAAAAAATACCATAATACATGGCAATTAACTTATATACATTATATATAACTCACGCAGTTCAACACTTGTATAAAAAAGCTAAAGCAATACAGTTACTTATACAATCTGCATCACGCAGTCTTTTATATATTCCCCTTCAGCATGACAGCAACAACTCTGTACATAAAAACACGCGACAACTTTACCGGTATTATAAGGTAAAGCTAAACAATCACTACCAAAATTGCCACGAGCTTAGTGTATTCGTCAGAATAGCTAATTATGTTAGACCTGCAGAAAACACAGACAAGATGAGAACGTTCTTTTCATCTTGCCTCAACAAATTGAATAATGAACTTACTTTTGAATCATATCTATTTTCATGATAACAAAGGGTGGCAATACAGTATACAGTAAAACAAGAAGCCATTACCAATCGATAACCTGTTAGAACACCACACTCGTCTGTTCGATGTACCAAGCCGTGTCGATGTTACTACCGCTACTTTACATAATCGTGATATTTCCCTCAAACGCCACGTTCCGTATAAATTTTTCCTAGTAGAAGGTTTTCCGGAGAATCACTAGCTGACGACTAGGTTACAGATATATGGAACCGAAATATTCACTTTCCAATCGCTGCATATCGATAATCGGTGCGGACGCAGCTACGGCTAGCCAAGAGACACTGCAAAACTCATCGCATTCTGTAGCGGAATAGGTAAAGTTGGCACCAAAAAAACTACACACCAATCTGAAAAACACGCTGTTCTTGACCGACAACTTAAACGTCCGTAGAAAAGTACTGTAGTGAATAAATACAAACATAATATGCTTGTGTCAGAAAAATCTCATATCCTTTCATATAAATGATTAATGGTGAAGTGTATGTATCCCACAGAAAATTACCGAACCCTTTACATCAGTTTTGCCACACTATGAAACACAGGTCATTTCGATCAATTTCGATCAATTTATATAAACTCAAGTAACCGATTATAAAAGCCGAGGGCACCAACCTTGAACAAACACACAAGAATCTGGCAAAAGCAACCTGTTTGTTGCTCATTTATAGCTAGAATGTCACAAGATAATTACCAAAAATCAGTACAAGAAAACAACGAAACTCGCCGGAAAACACCAGATATAAGACAAGTAAATGATTGGCTGACTGTAATGATTGTGACCAAGGCAAAATAAACTACCGATCTCTTAATACTTGTTATAAAAAAATAATGTGAGATTACTCCAATTAGTAAGTCTAAAATCAACTATAGGTATGATTACTAATGACAGCACGCAAAAACGGTCTCAGCCTGCCTCCCTCGCATGTGGGATTTTCCTTCCCTAACACTGTAGGATTAGATTTCAGAAGCATACTGCTGAATAGTGGAGGAAGAGAAACGCACGCACACACACACACACACGCACGCACGCACGCACGCACGCACGCACGCACGCACGCACGCACGCACGGACAGACACACACACGCACCTACCCACACAGCCCACCAACGTAAAATCACACTCACGTAGATGAAAGAAATGCAATAACCACCGTTTGACCGAATTTATTAATTACACACCAAACAAATATACAGCACCACCCTCCCTACATGCAAGCACCCACTGATGCGCGATTACATCCACACCCATACAGACACGCACACGCTCGCCTGCACGCACGCACGCGTGCACACCTGCCAACAACAAGGATGTAATAAACGCCGTTGGAAAAGACTCTCATTTGGCAGATTGTGATGAGCACCACCACTGACATCTTCTGGGGAGCATTGGTCAAACGCATCAGCCCGAAATGCTCGAATGGCGGCAAAAATGCCATGTTCTCGCAAAAATCGCACGTCTACCCGACACGAGGACCACGGGACAACGCGGCAACCGAGAAAATGCGCAATTTTTTTAACGGGAAGAGGGAAAGCGAGCGAACTGCAACGATCGTCGTTTCCTCCCTTGCTTCGAGTAAGACAACACCGGCCACCGAGTAACATGTTTTTAATGGTCGCGGGCGAAACAATTACATAGCGTTGACGTCATTAGCGTCCGATTGCACAAATCTGTCTAGCGGTGAGGAGCACGCATTAGATCCGTCAGTTCTCTTTCCCACACTAGCGTTTCTTTCTCCGCCGTTTGCGCTTGCCCGTAGGCTGGTCTTGACCACCAGAAGCCGCTGCACCCATGTTGTTGTCGTCGCCTTTCTGCGCCTTGTGGTAAAGATGCTCCAGAAACTCCTCTAGACCTTCCTCACTGAAAACGAAAGCAAATGGTTAGATTCTCGGGGGGAGAAAGCATCGAAAGAACGAAGCACAAACAAACAAAATTAATATATTTCAAATTTTCCCTCCTATTTCAAAGCACTTTATAATGCTATTACACGCAGAGCTTCTGATCGACGCCTTCGATACATTTACCTACAAATTTACGTTGGAGTACGTATCCCACAGAAGGGTATTAGCCAGGAATCAGTATTGTGCGAGTGCAGAAAAAATATTTGGGAGTGCAATTTTTTTGTATGCGTGTCTCAGCCAAGACTTTAGAATCAATATTTTAGGCCGTGCTACACATTTTTGGCCGTGCAGTTTCAAAACTGACCGTGCAAATCACGGCTGCACGACTCGCTGGCTAATACGTTGTCCCACAGTTAAGCCGACGCGACACCCACCTCGGCAGATCGGGAGAATGCGGCTGTCGCTTTCCGACGAACATCACTTTCGTCGTGACGTTGTGGGAGTTGGCCTGCAGGTACTGGAAGCGACGTCGCTGGCACGTCGCCCACTCGGTGACCTGGTACACGTGTCCGCTGATCATCGCATAGTAGTGCCACCGTAGACCAAACATGGCCGTCTCCGCCCATATGTCGCCCTACGACGCGCGTGCGTCAGAGAGAGGGAGGGCCGAGTTATGAGAGCAGCAACGATGAAGATGAAATGCACGCAAACGCAACGAAGAAGTAATACAATATACATACATACATACTGTACGTACATATAAATAAATATATATATATATATATATGAAATATGAATATAAATGTCATGAATAGATAAATGAATAAATATATGTAAATATTATAACAGATATCTATATTAAGATAATATAAGGTGAGATAAAAATAAGATACAATATGAATGAAAAGAGACAGCACGCGAACGAATTACTCGCGACACATACTGCACACTGTGTGGATTCACAGGATAACTCCAATTACGGAGGAAGAACCACGGGCAGCTACCACGAGAGACATTTCACACTGGAGTTTTCACTGGACTATTTTTTCACGATGAGGTGGGGGGGTTTGAAACACAAAACCCTTCCGCCGGCTCTGCCACACGATGTCGATGACAATCGCATGCTTGTGATCGCGTGCGCACGCGCCCTCCCTCACCTCCTTAGCCGCGTGTCGTATATTGCACTGTGCACAGAATCGGGCGGCGTACACGGGACGATCCTGAGGGTGGCGCCGGTGTCGCCCACCGCAGCGGTCGCAGCGCATGATCGTCGCCGCCTCCTTGATCTTGTCCCTCATCTTGCTGAGAAGGTCGGACAGTTCCGTCTGCGCGGAGATCGCAATCGTTAGCATAATTAACCGACGATGTAATTAGATTGAAATATCGTACAGGGGGGTGTCTCTCACGGAGAGAAGGCATTGGGTGCAGCACTCGGAGCGCGTTACATGTACGCATTAACTTCATGATTCACGACACTCTGAATTTGCTTCAATTCTGCACGAGACTTATGCGTCGTACAAAACTTCAATCGCAGCAAAAAATCTCCAGCTGAATAGGTAGACATTCGAAATCGACATTAATTAGATAGGTTCAATGAATCATCAACGCAGCATCGTCGAAATTTCTTAGATGAAAAACAAAACAGGTATAAAATACTTGCCGACTCGTTTTCATTCCTGCAAACAGCTCGCAGCTAGCATCTCCTAATAGTTCAACAAAACAATGGCTGTTCTTCAAATCAACACCACTAACCAGGAAACTGGCGAGAGAAATTCCCTCTCGCTCTCGCTACCTACCATCGCAGATTCAACCTGAGTCGAGTGCATAATTTTCTCGTCGTACTTGCGGCGGCTGTCGGGCTCGCCGACGATGTCGAACGCGTGCGCTAGTATCTTGAAGGCTTCCTCGGCACCGGGCAGACGATTCTGCAGAACAGAAAAAAACGCATCGCTGACAACACGCACGGCAGTGACAGCGCGAGTCCGCAGCAAAGGAACAAAGGGAAACCTTACTACGCTAAGGGGAGCTGCGATTAAATATCTGGAAACTGAGCGGCGCCGGCTGCGCGCGTCGCGGTGCAGAGCGGCGGGCTTGCCTTGTCGGGGTGGACGAGCACTGCCTGCCTGCGGTAGTACTTTGTGATCTCCTCCTGCGTGGCGGCGGCCGTCACGCCGAGAATCGTGTACGTGTCCCTGCCGCGCACCGTCAGTAGCCTCCGCATCGCCTCCTCGCCTGCGGAAACCGTGATCACATTCACACGCCGATGCTCACAGAAATGCACATAGAGTACGACTATGCGAGACTACAGACTACAGTCAGTAACAAAGACAGACATTAACAGATAACTAAGCCCTACAGAGAGCAACACCTGCGGTGGCTACCCGACTAATGTTACTACTACTACCACTGCTGCTCCTGTTGGACATGCTATATAACTGTTACACGATTTACTTGGTTCTATTCCAATGGCCCACTGCCATCCTGTGGAACAAGATGTAGCTGGGAGACACATGCATCTAGAAAAGGGTTTATTTTCCCATAAGACTTCTCTACACATTTTCGGCTATGTATTCCGTTTATTCGTGGGGGCGTTGCGATTGTAACCTGTGGTCGGTAGAGTGATGTTTTGCTCCAGTCCCTTCTGCCAGATTTTGTTCGCCTCTTTCTGGCCGTGGAACTTCTTCTTGACGTATTGCAGGCCCGTGTACCACGCACGCACGGAGGAAGTGTAACAGTAGTCAAACACTTTCATCAGACTGCAACAGATAACAGCAGGTTGGTCACGGAAACACATTTGAAGTGATGATTTCAAACAGTCTTCCTGACTGTTTTCCGTATTTTTCCAGCCACTACAGTACTTACTGGCAATGCTTGTGTAACAGTACGTGTTTAAAGTTCTAAAGGTTAACATGTCTTAGAACACTCGTACATCGCTATTCTCACATTAAAATATACAACGATTGAAATCCGTTTGTTTATATCGTGTTGACGCAGTTACATGAGATGCACGTTTTTGTCTGGTGGTTGCCGATGCAAAATCGACACTAAATGCAACATCACGACTAGCAGAATCATTTCTGCTGGATAGCCGTCACTGACAACGGCTCCAATGTAAATATACTAGTGCAGCACAGCATACCACAATTAAAGTTAAGGGTAGCTCGTGACAAGGAGCGTGCAGGTGGAGACGAGGGTCGGTAAACTGACAGCACATTCTGATATCGCAAGCCTGGAATTTGTGCAGGTAGGTTAAAACAAACACGACCAGGACCGGTCCCACAATCGGGAACAGAAATGAGCCCAGATCTATCCCGAACAGAAATGAGCCCAGATCTTTCACGAACAGAAATGAGCCCAGATCCATCCCGAACAGAAATGAGCCCAGATCTTTCACGAACAGAAATGAGCCCCAAGAATCCATCCGATACAGAAATGAGGCCCAGCATCTATCCGAACAGAAAACTGAGCCCCAGATCCTATCCCCGAACGAGCAAATGAGCCGGCAGATTTTCTTTCACAAGCGGACAATGAGCCCAAATCCGATCCGAAACAGGAAAACGAGCCCAGATCTATCGACGAACGAAACGAGCCCAGATCTATTCACCGAACCGAGAAATGAGCCCAGAATCATCCGAACAAGAATGAGCGGCCCCAGATCTAGTCCATGCAACAGCAAACGCAGCGCTCAGCGCCCAAGATCTATTCCGAACACAAGTCCTATGAGCCCCAAGATCCTCCCGAACAGAAATGAGCGCCAGATCTATCATGACCAGAAACCGAGCTCCCAGATCTATGCCGAACAGAATGAAGCCCACGATGACTATCCCGACCAGAAACGAGCGCCAGGATCTATCTCCACGAACACGAAACGAGGGGCCCAGATCCACTGCCAAACCGGAAACGGAGCCCAGATCGCATCCCCGAACCGAGAAACCAGCCCCAGATCCTACTCCGGAACAGCGAAATGAGGCCAGACGTTCAGGCCGAACCAGAAACATGACCGGCCGGAGATCCATGCCCGAAGCCAAGAACTGAGCCGCCCAGATCTATCCGCGAACAGAAATGAGCCCAGAGTCTTTCACCGAACCGAGACAATGGAGCCCAGATCCATCGAACAGCAAATGAGGCCCAGATCTATCCGGCGAACAGAAATGAGGCCAACCAGATCTCATCCCGAACAGAATGAGCCCCAGACTCTTTCAACAACGGACAATGAGGCAACAAATCCATCCCGAACAGAATACGAGCGCGAGCCCAGACTCTATCACCGAACAGAAACCGAGCCCCAGATCTATTCCGAACAGAAATAAGCCGCAGATTTCCCATCAAAGCCCTGAACATCTCCCTCTGATGAGGCCCAGATCTATCACATGACAGGCAAACCGAGCCCCCAGCATACTATCCGCAACAGAAATCCGACGCCCAAGACTCCATCCCGAACAGAAATTGAGCCAGATCTATCATCCGAACGCCAGAAACGAGCCCAGATCTAATCCCGAACCAGAAATGAGCGCCGCCAGATCCTATTCCCCGACACGAAACGAGCCGGCCAGATCTATCTCGAACAGGAAAGCCGAGCCCATATCCATACGCCAACAGCGGACACATATCCTGGCGAGGGGATCACTCGCTCCTGCGTTTCAGTGAGGGAGCCCAAGAGTCATCCGCAAGCAGAAAGCAGAGCCGCCGAGATCCTATCCCGAACAGAAATGAGCCCAGATCGTCTCACATAGCCGAACAGAAATGAGCCAGATCCATCCCGAACAGAAATGAGCCGCAGATCTTGATCACCGAACAGAAATGAGCCCAATCTTTCACGAGAACAGAAATGAGGCCCAGATCCATCACCCGAACAGAAATGAGCCAGATCTTCCACGAACAGCCAATGAGCCGTCGCCAGATCCATCCCACAACAGACAAGAGCCCAGATGGCGCTATGCCCCGAAACCAGAAATGAGCCCAGATCTTTACCGAACAGAAAATGAGGCCCACGCACATCTATCCCGAACGAATCGAGCCCAGATCTTTCAGCGACCACAAGAAATGAGGGCCGGCAGTTCCATACTTCCGAACCGAGAAAATGAGCCCAGATCCATGCCCGAACAGACAACGAGCCCAGATCTATCACGAACCAGAAATGAGCCGCAGATCTCATCGCTAAAAACAGAAATGAGCCCAGATCCATCCCGCGCAAACAGGAAACGAGCCCAGATCTATCCCGGAACAGAAACCGAGCCCAGATCTATCCCGAAGCAGAACATGAGCCAGATCTATCCCGAACAGCAATCGAGGCCCAGATTTCCATCCCGAACAGTAAATGAGCCCAGAATCCCATCCCGAAAGCAAATGAGCCCGAGATCTAATCCCGAACCAGAAATGAGGCCCAGATCTATCCCGAAAGCAGAAATGAAGGCCCAGATGCTATCCCGAACAAGAAACGAGCCGCAGATCTATCCCGAACAGAACCAACGACGCCCCAGATCTATCCCCGAACAGGAAACGAGCACCCAGATCTCATCCGACACCAGAAACGAGCCCAGATCCATCCCGAACAGAAACGAGCCCCAGATCCATCCCGAACAGAAACGAGCCCAGATCTATCCCGACACCAGAAATGCAGCCCAGATCCATCCCCGAAACAGCCAAACGAGCCAAGATCTATCCCGGTAACAGAAACGAGCCCGATCTAATCCCGACAGAAACGAGCCGCAGATCTCATCCGAACAAGACAGGGCCCAGATCTATCCGAACAGAAACTGAAGCCCAGATCTATCAGCGAACAGAAATGCCACTGCCAGCACGCCAGACTCTATCCCGAACAGAAACGACCACGCCAGATCCATCCGCGAACAGAAAACGAGCCCGGCAGATCCATCCCCGAACAGAAATGAGCCCAGATCTTATCCGAACAAGAAATGAGCCCAGATCCTCCCGAACAAGAAACGAGCCCAGATCCCATCCGAACAGAAACGCAGCGGACCAGATCTATCCCGAACAGAAACGAGCCCAGATCTATCCCGAACAGAAATGAGCCCAGATCTATCCCGAACAGAAAATGAGCCCCAGATCTATCCCGAACAGAAACGAGCCCAGATCTATCCCGAACCTTAAAACGAGCCCAGATCCCATCCCCGCTCCGGTGAGCGACAGAAACGAGCCCACGATCTATTCCCGAAGACACGCAAATGAGCGACCAGATCTATCACGAACAGGAAGATGCAGCCGCAGATCTTATCCGCAGAACAGAAACCGAACCCAGATCCATGACCCGAACAGAAACGAGCCCAGATCCAATGAGCCGCGAACAGCAAATGAGCCCCAGATGCATATCCCGAACAAGAATGAGCCGCCCAAGATCCATACCACGAACAGAAACGAGCGCCAGTCCATCCCGCGAACAGAAACCAGCCCAGATCCATCCCGAACAGAAACGAGCCCAGATCTATCCCGAAAGATGTGCGTGATGATAAAAGATAATACGTACAGGACGAGTGCTAGGTGGACGCTGAGCAAAATCACATTTCCTAATAGTGTAATGAGCCACAGCAGCATCTTCTGCAGGCCAAGTAGGACAGCCTGGCCAAACTCCACTGCAACACAGAAACATGCAACAAGTACAGACGACGCAGAAAACCGACAAATACGAACGGAATGCGAGTGGAATAACAGTGGACTGAAAAATACAGATATATAATAGGTAAAAAAAATGTAATATACGGAATAACTATGAAACTCTCGCGCACAGTTTAGGCATTGTAAGCAGTTCTTAAACGGAGAGAGAGAGAGGGAGGATAATCGCCTGGAGTTCAAGCTTCAGGCTGCAGTATTCTCTCACTATATATAAATCATGTGTGCTTCTATTGTTCTCCAGTATTCTGTTAATATACATATAAACAGTGTTTGCTTCCATTGTTCTCCAGTATTCTCTAAACATACATATTCTATTAATATTCTATAAGCTATATAATAAAATAAATAGTACAAAGGAGTAATAAAATAATCCAAAATTATAGTAGAGTATAGGCACAGAGCTCCGGGCTCTGTCGTCCAAAATAAAATTAGTCGTAGCAATAGTCTTGAAACATTTTCTCACAAGAGCATTAACAGTGTTAACACAGTTAAATCACGCGTTTCTCGTACGCAGTATACAGAGGTCCGGTTTAAAACGTAACATTAAGACTGATGTTAAGACCATAATATTACCAACGGCTTCCGAGGTTGACAAGCGTACACGGACAAACTTCAGACGAAACGGGGATGGCACCGACATCAGAGCGAGGGCCGCGGCGGAGCGATGACGAACAACACTCACCGCCTCTGTGCGACGCCGTCTGGCACTGGCGAGACTTCTTGCCGAGCTGCTTGCGGGAGGGCGCCACCTGTGTCTGGTTGACGACCTTCGCCTCGGCCTTCGCGCGGCGACGGAAGGTCGGCACGTTGTCGGGCTTGCCTCCTGAAAGCAGACGGACGCGAGAGAACGATGAGTGTCTCCGTGACAACGGCTCACGGGTCGATAGCCGTCGCGAAGAGACGAAACTTGACGGGTCGCGGACGCAGGGGATCGGACGTTGCCGTCGTCGTAGCTCGAAAGAAAGCTACCGGTCGTGAGATCGAGTTGACACAGACTTGAGTACTGAGACGATCTTCTTCTTCTCTAAACCTTCTCGTATAGAAACCGAAACCAGCATGTTGATGATAACAGGCTGTCAAGTAAAATCTTATAGAATCACAGTAACGCTCGATTCTTAGGATTGAAACCGAAACAATGACCCTTATGACCGGAAACACCTGTGCACGCAGACTGTATCTAATCATTGATCAACCCAGTAACAAGAGAATGTCAATTTCATCAGACAGGCATCACGGCATGACACACCGAGCGAATAACCACATTTCAATTCACCAACGACAAGAGAGAGATGAAAAAAAACGAGAGCCGTCGTCGTTCCCCACAATCCTGCACGCCGACACGGCTTCCCACGCGCTTGACGCCCGCAGCGCAAGAACCGCGACTCCCTTCGAACAGCGATCGACGCGGCGGCGCGCGACTCACCTTCCGCGCAGGTCTGCTCGGCGGAGAGGTCATTGTTGATGTAGGTCGCCGCATCGAGCTTTGCGTTGCAGTCCAGTGAGCCGAAGCCTTTGTCGTTATTCAGCACGCTGTCGTTGCGCAGGTTGTTCGCAGACTTCCTCACCTGCAAATACGTGTCGCGGCACAGACGGTCAGCCTGCTCACAATTCACTTCTACATACATGCCGGCGGCGGCGGCAGTTACTCGCCCAGCAGCGCCGGCGGCTGCCGCGGAGGCAGACACGAAATCACGAAGGCGGTCAGAAAATCACGAAGGCGGTCACAAAATCACGGTTAGACATTGAAGTGTTCTTGCTCACCGGCATGCGAGATAGCGAGTGGACATTGGATATCACATGAGAAATTGAACTTTGCACGCCGACTGCAGTCACAATATTTGATTAGCGTGAGGTGTGTTTGCTCCAGTCTTAGTAATCAGTCTAGCAATTACATAGTGATTATAGGTGGGTAATACACATGGAAAAGTTGGCCCAGATCACAAATTGCTGAAGTGAGGATGTAGCTGTTACTGATGGCGATCAAATATCGCACAGGCACAGGTGTACAATAACTTATCAATTTGGAAGGTACTCCATATAAATAATGTCTACACTAATGTCTAGCTATGTCTAGACTATGCATAATGAAAGTGTCAATGACACTGTAGCTCACCTTGGGTCTGATAGAAGAGGGAGAGGGGATATATAAAGCAAGAGCCGTGTGATATGTTTTGGGGCCAGTCCTTATTCATTCACATACTAGAAATGAGCAAAATCCGTTGAACCTGAACTGACTTATTGCCATTTCCATTTTTGCCAAAAAGTGGACGTGGCTCGAATGTAGGTCGACTTGGTGTGCTCCAAAATAGGACGTTCAAACCTCTCCCATAGGAGTAACAACTATATGCAATTTGAAACATGTGGGTCAAACTGTTCTTGAGTTATCGTTGACCGTAGCCAAATGTTGACGAACGGACGGACGTACGACGGACGACACCCCATGGCAGTAGCTCATCTTGACGATGTCAAGGCGAGCTAAAAATGACACTTGTTTTTAATGATGCTGCCACACCCGCACATGCTATGAACTGGGCCATTACTTCACACCCACACAGCGCATGTTATTAAGGAGTCAATGTTCCACCCATACATAATATGGTCAAAGAAACGATCTCAAACGTTCACATGGTCAGGGCGACATGGCCACACCCATACAAAACATGATCACGCTGACAATGCCAGATCCAAGAAGGCTTTCTAACAATCTTAATACGAGATCAGTTGTTCTGGAATATGGATTCTGCACGGATTGATAGATACCACGCTCATCACAGCGACGGTACACACAGCAGACTATATCGCACCTCTTTGCGGTTACAGGTGAATATTCGTCTCGGATCGAAGAACGGCTTTTCTTCGGGCTTCCCGGATTTTGCCGCCTGCTTCTCGGAAACTTTCCCAGATGGCGGCTTCGCGTCTTGAGCGGCACCGTCGTGTTTTCCTGACGACTGGATAAAACGAAGCTCGTGTCACTTCCAGGCTAGCAGGAGATTCACAGAGCAACAGAGTTAACTACATATAGCGATCACGTACGGTCGTACTCTCAAATACGATCAAAAGTACGTAGGCAAAGCTTGATGCATAATATTGCATGAATTACTGTAATCATAAGAAACTGTACTAAAGTATAATACAGGTTTTATTCCACCTTTCCCAATTACTAGCCTCATAGAAAGACATTTACATAAAAAGTATCAGTACATTAAAATCACAATATCATTCACTACCACTTATACCAACTTAGAAATAATGAAAGTGTCAATGACACTATAGCTCACATTGGGTGTGCTAGAAGAGGGAGATGATATTTAAAATTTGGCAAGTGTTTCATTTATGACGAACCAAAATGTGATCAAATGTACTTATTCCCCGTTTTATACTAATAGAAATTTCACTGTTTTGTTTCAGGGTTAGTTTTGATGCGAAAATAAATGTTTCAGATCTGAAAGTCTGAAATTTGGGCAAGAGATGGCGCTACGCCTAAATGATCGCCATTTTGGTTTTCGATTATCGCGCAAATAAAAGCAATAAAATACTCCAGTCAAATTACTGTAACAAAGAATCTAAAACACAATATTACACACAGGTATGATTAGGTAGGTAGGTAGGTAAATTTAACAATATCGAATGAATCTAGATGGCCATTTTCATTTTTGCCAAAAAGTGAGCGTGGCTCGAAAGTAGGTCGACTGGCGAGCTCCAAAATAGGACGTTCAAATCCCTCCCATAAGAGTAACAACTGTATGCAATTTGAAACATGTGGGTCAAACGGTTCTTGAGTTATCGTTGACCGTAGGCAGACACTAAAATGCATAGTGAAATTGCCAAAATCTACCTAATTTGCATAATTTAAAAAAAATATCAAAACCTGTGTGATATGTTTTGGGGCCAGTCCTTATTCATTCACATACCAAAAATGAGCAATAGCCATTGAACCTGAACTGACTTATGGCCATTTCCATTTTTGCCAAAACGTGGGCATGGCTCGAAAGTAGGTCGACTGGCGTGCTTCATAATAGGACGTTCAAATCTCTCCCATAGGAGTAACAACTAGGGCTGTAACGATCCACCGAAATCGAATCGGATCGAGATTCTCTTCCCTCGATCCGATCCTCGATATTTTTCCCCGTATTTTCGATTCCACTTCGATACCACTTTTTTCCTCCAATAGATGGCGGCACTACGCTATATACTGTGGAGTGTTACCAGCGCATAGAAATCACTGGTGTTTAATGGTGATTTATATGCTCTGGTGTTACTCACCAATGTTACTCAGCGACTGTGCAGTGTATATAACTATATATACTCTCTAGACTCCCTAGTCTATTCACCATTTAGTATTCATTGGCAATTTCTAATAATTTATTATTGCAAAATAATAAAAATATAAAAAATAAGATAACATTTCAATATTTTGGAAATCGAATCGAAGGAATCGAATCGAGATGCTAATATCGAGAACCAGATCGAATCGAGAGGCTTGTGTATCGTCACAGCACTAGTAACAACTGTATGCAATTTGAAACATGTGGGTCAACCGGTTCTTGAGTTATCGTTGACCGTAGGCAGACACTGAAATGCATAGTGAAATTGGCAAAATCTACCTAATTTACATAATTTTTAAGAAATATCAAAACCCCTGTGATAAGTTTTGGGGCCAGTCCTTATTCATTCACATACCAAAAATTAGCAAAATCCATTGAACCTGAACTGACTTATGGCCATTTCCATTTTTGCCAAAAAGTGGGCGTAGCTCAAAAGTAAGTCAACTGGCGTGCTCCAAAATAGGACGTTCACATCTCTCCCATAGGAGTAACAACTGTATTCAATTTGAAACATGCAGGTCAAATGGTTCTCAAGTCATCGTTGACCATAGCCAAATGTTGACGGACAGACGGACGGATGGACGGACGTATGACACCCCATGGCAATAGCTCATCTTGACGATGTCAAGGTGAGCTAAAAATGTAGACACAAAGCAATATATCCTAATATTGATTAAGATTCCCAGTGAAATGCAATGCACCTTTGGTAGTGGGTTCTCCTCCATATCTGAAGAGGGAGTTCTAGGCAGGCCCGGACGACGCGTGGCCCCATCTGCAGGCACTTTGGTACTGAGCCGGGGAGATTTCGTTGCCACTTTGATGGTATTGTCACCATCTAGACTTTCTGGCCTAAATAACCACCATTAAAAAACTCTTGTGACATCTACAGATGATAAAGGGATGAATCATGGCTCAAAAAAACATGTACTTAGTTTCAAACACATTTATCTATGTCCCAGTTTTAATAGTGCTTGATCATGCAACTCTGCAATGTTTATACAATTTAGCACATTCATATTAGTCAGCGAAAAACACATTTACATACTTACATCTTTGTGGAAACAGACAAGAATAGTGGAATAGTTAGTCAGGAAAACAGACAACATCAATGGCATTGTTAGCAAGGGAAACAGTCAAGAATAGTAGAATACTTCGTCATAGAAACAGACTAGATATACTATCTAGACATCTACACTATGTAGACAGCTATAGTAGCTACACGCTACATATACGGCGGGCGTACTTGGACTCGGCCTTGACGAGTGGACTAGTATCCTTCGTGTCGCGGTGGTGCATAGCCGACTGCCTGCACTTCTGCGCGCGTGGCGGCGCGCGTCTCCGCGGCTCTACCACCGGCGCACTGCTGCCGCCCCCGCCACCATAGCCGTCCGACACGAGCATCGCCTTTCCCCGTCTCTTCCCGACGACGTCAGAGTATTTGGGTTTCGGCGCGGCCGCTGGCGGTGGAGACGGCGAGGAGACCGGCGTCTCTCTCGGCTGTCCGACGCCATTGTTGTTCCCGGCGGGGTCGGCCGCAGGCTGAGAATTGAATTTCAGATCGATGGTTCCGAATGGGTTATATTCTGCTGTCCACGTGCTCAGGCCCTCCGCACCAGACCTGCAAGCAGACGCACGCACGTCAACACCGCTCGCATGGAATCGATCGTCTCTGAAAGCCGCGGCGACGTTGCAGCAAGAACAGTGCGAAGGACGTGTGAACGAATATAAAATGCGAAACGTGAATATACTCTGGCGAGTGACTCGACATTTCTGCATGCAGCATGCTTTCTACCCCACTCCTGTGCTTTTGTACATCTGCCCTAATTGCCAAGTAATTTCCAAGCAATATTTTCAGTGATTTATAAAAGTCGTTTAATAGTGTTGGAAATAGCAGTCCCAGTGTGATCCAGTCAGGGATCGGTAACTTTTCAGCAAGATTGAATGATTTTTATAGATTTTACAACAGGTTATACAATAGAAAACAAAATATTTGAAATTGAGACGTCAAGACTGACCTGCTGGTGCTTGTGCTGCCGTTGTTGTGACTGAAGTAGCTGAAGTAGCTCTGGTTGTTTTCATCACCATTTTGGACCACGGTAGCAAAATCTCCGTACTGCGGTGGCAGTGGAAAGTTAACCAGATCATTCTCTCCACACCTAATCAACGAAAATAGACAAACAACAACATTAACGCCATACCCAGTCAAACCTGCATTAACTGTAGTCGATGTTGCCATATCCATATCAGACACATTTCTTCCGAAAACGGACGACGACTTTTTATATCAGTTTGGCCCAAATAGCAGAGCATAGGTCTTCAGCAACTGCGTTGCTTTTGTTTTAATTAACAAAGTTAAAGCAAGTCACATTCTAGCCCACACACTAAGCAACCCATATCACCTTCAACCACGCCCTCCCGTTTACATCCCCTGTATTTACCTGCCACCCCACGAATCCAGCGGGCAGCGGAGAAGCGTTGACCAGAACGACGACGCTTGTTGACTGCCATCAGAGACTGTAGTGGCGTCCTCTGGTATGGAACTCGTCAGGTCTGCCGTCCTACAGAAGCGGACATGTTCATTGTTGACCTTCAGCACGCGAAAACATCCGACAAGACTCGCTGCTTACTAGCTGTGCTTCTAGTTCTACATGTGCCTGCCTCACTCTCGTGAAAAATTATTCAGCACAGGTACTTCGATAGCAAACTGCTTTCTAGGTTTTCGCTCTTCGTTTGCGGCCGCTGTATAAACCACCTTCTACGCAACTCGTATGAAATATAACATGAAATGTGCTTTGTCATTTATCCTCTATTTTCTCTCTCATTGTGGTTACACACCACAGAGAGCTGTTAGTATAAGGCATTGCACATCTAGAGTGCTCTATTTAAAATCAAAAGTTCAAAAGTGTCAAGCTGAGAACAATCTACTTACGTGCGTAGGATGTCATCAATAGAAGTGTCATGAGTTGGTGACATGAAATCGTCTAGTTTGCTTGACTGCATCGCACGAGCTAACTTTACGTATTTAGGATGTACATCGAGTATCCTGTGTAAATCATTGAAAATACATTTACAGAAATTTTATTAACCCGCAGAAATTCATATTCCTACACACGATTAATAGTTTAAGCAATCAAACCCTAGTCCACGTCTGACACACTGGATACTCGCTTAAATAATAAAATATAGAACACTTGTATGGTCCTTATATATGACTGATTATTCAAAATCATGGCAACTGCTAAACACAAATAATACTAATTCATGCAATAAGATAAGACCATGAATGACACCATCTTAAAAATGCAAGTATTCAGTATTGTCCCTCGCGCAACTGTCAATTACTTTATTGGAATTACTGTCCCAACAGAGTATTATGGTAGACTGGGACAGAAAGATAACAATATCTTCACAAGGATAGAGTTGGTGTGGTAGACTTAACAGGACTTCCCACAAAACCCACGTAATTATTATTATTAGGAAACAACACGTGACAGGTGTCTATATCACTCTAGACTGGTAAGACTTATTTTGGGTAGTGCGCAAACCTGGTAGTGTATTTGCCACTGCCACTGTGACTGTTAGTGTTATTCCAAATTAGAATTTACCTCACAAGTATATCTGCAACTGGAAATAGAGCAAATATTTCTAACTGCTGGTTCTGTTTACGTAGACATTTGGCACGTGTGCACGTTAGGTAGAGAGTAATATATTCAATTATAATTAGGGGTATACAGGCTGTAGAGTGTAGTGTAGGGAGCTTAGAGTTAGAGTAGAGACTAGAGGCTAGATGTGACTTAGCTCTAAAAATATAGCCCTCCGCTCCGCCGCAGGGCTATAGAACATACTATGGCAATTTCCAGGGAGTAAGCAAAGACAACTTTTTTGCGGTTATTAACTTCTTCGGTATGCCAAATAAAGCACATTCGCTGCCGCACAAATGTCTTAAGTTACTATAAACACTAAAATTAAACCGCAAAATATTACTCGTTGGCTAAGATTGTTTACCAATTTGTAACCGCCATTTTTCGCTAGTCGCGCTAGTGAGCGACTGAGCGGGCACAATGTATTTCCAAGTGGAAGGGTGGGCAGGTTGCATGCGGTTGCAAACTGCCATTTTTCGTCGCGCAGCGCTAGCGCGGTTTGCAACCGCGTGCAACCTGCCCACCCCTTCACTTGGAAATACATTCTGCACGCTCACTAGCGAAAAATAGCGGTTACAAGTTGGTAAACGAGTAACGACTTGGTTCGTCGACGAGTAATATAGCAAGTACAACATTTAAGCGTTAGTTTGCGGTTTAACTTTAGTGTTTGTAGTAACTTAAGACATTTGTGCGGCAGAGAATGTGCTTTATTTGGCATACCGAAGAAGTTATTAACCGCAAAAAAGTTGTCTTTGCTTACTCCCTGGAAATTGCCATAGTATGTTCTATAGTCCTGCGGCGGAGCAGAGGGCTATAGCCATAGGCCTAGTTCTAGAGCTAGATGTGACTATGGCGTGTAACCAACTCCGTCGACTTGTCGTCTGCTTCGCAAGCTAATAGCCGATACTGTAATTAAACTAAAAAGTTGTGTATCTACTTTAACGTAAACACGAGAACGGTTTTAAAGATTAACATGTTAAACATCTAGAATTTAGGCTACGCGCTGCAAACATTCTTACTTTCACATTCGATTTTGTTTCACTTTGACACTTGTACTTCGCCATTCCTGTACGTGGCGCCATCTGTAAAATATACCGATGCTCATCTGTTGTTTGAAGTGAAACATGGCGCCGTGTTACGAATTGCTCAGACAACAATACAAAACATTTCGTTATTTTCAACGTCATGTGGCATTATATTACACCACGGTCGTTAGGAGACAATTATTGTAGTACATAAGCTCGAACGTTTCTGAAAGATAAGGTGGATGATACCTGTAGTTGGCGTGGGTCATAATAAAAACACCGTGTAACAGTGCAACTGGCATTGCGTTACTTCAATACTTGCCCATCGAAGGCCTGTACTGTAGGCTGTAGTACGGTACCGTACAGCACGCTAGATACTGTTACAGCGGATTTATTACGCTTTGTTGAGGCGTGTCCCCGTAACATGCTGACGTCCTCTTGCTACATGATGAACGAAAATAATGGCACCACTGTCGCACGTACCGAAACTCTGATGGCCGAAAACACGGGGGAACAGCAGACGGTGACTTTTGTCGACCCCGACACCGGCAGACTGCGGCACGCGATCGTCCTTGGAAGCGACGAGAATCGCGAGCAATACATCGTAGAAGGCGAACGCGACGATGCGGCCGACGGTGCCGGTGAACATTTACTTGTGTGCGAGGGCGGCGTGCAGTGTGCACCGAGCGAGAGGCGAGTAGGTGTCAGGGAGATGCGCACAGAGGTTGAGTCGCCTACTGACGATGATCAAGGACACATGGTGATCGTTCAGGACAGCGACGGGCAGCAGTACCAATTGAGTGGTACTGGTAACAATAAGGAGATGTTCGTTGTCGGAGAAGATGGGGATCACCAAATGTTCGTCGTCGGCGATGATAACAAACATGTGGTTTTTAACGGTGACGATGGCGAGCAGTTCGTCACTGAGCGAGTCATCGAAAAGACAAACTCCTCTGATGGGACCAGCAACGGCCAGCGCTATCTCGTCGGTACGAACAACGAAAAAATCACTCTCGAGAGCAGTGAAGATCCGCGTGTTCTTGTGAACAGCAGTAATGGTCAACGCGTTCTTCTGAACAGCACCGATGGACAGCATGTTATTTTTAACGGCGTGGAAGGTCAGCGGTTCCTTGTCAGGGATCGAAACGGGCAGCGGGTGTTCGTGAGCGAGAGCAGCGATAACGACACCGACGGTGAACAACACCAGGTGGTTCTCAGCGAAGGTGAACAACACCAGGTGGTTCTCAGCAAAGGTGAACAACACCAGGTGGTTCTCAGCGAAGGTGAACAACACCAGGTGGTTCTTGACGACAGTGAACAGCAGCAGTCATTCGTGGACGAGGAAAGCGGCAAACGAGTGGTTCTGAATGGCAATGGTGGAGCGGCCGTGATCATCGAGGATGAGGACGGCAAGCAGTACGCAACTCAGGTGATGGTAAACGAATCGGGCGAACAATACATCCTCCTCGGTCAATCAGAGGGCGCCAGCGATGCTGACGAAACAAACAGAGTAGCGCGAGAGCAAACCGACGCCGCCGTGCCGAGAGGAGCGGAGGCGGTCGGCTTTGACGTCGCCATGGCAACGACGACTCAGACTGCTCCTGGCGGCGGCGGGCGGTTTGTGCTCGACCCGGCGATAAGAGATGAGATCAGGGATCACGTTGGGAGGGACCTGGTCGTCGTTGAGGAGGAGGGGGAGGACCGCGACGGAATGACGTACGTGATCGTCGAGGAGACGCACGAGACGAAACAGCGGACGATGCGCGACAGCGCAAAGTTCAAAGTGAAGCCCTACCGGTGCGGACTCTGCCAGAAGGAGTTTGCGTGCAAGACGAACTGCCTCAATCACCTGCAGACGCACGTCGTGCCCGGCGGCCGGCCGTACAAGTGCGAGCGGTGCGGGCAGGCGTTCGGAGACCTCCCCGCGCTGACCCGCCACCTGTCGTCGCACGACGGCACCTCGCTCGAGAACAACAAGGAGCGCCCATACAAGTGCGGCCTGTGCGGCCGCGTGTTCTCCTTTGCGGGCAGTTTCACATCGCACATGCGCGTGCACTCGCTGCAGGACACGTCGGCGGCGGCGCGCAATGCGGCAGCTGTCGCCGCTGATGTCGTCGTGGCGACCGCGCTCTGATGTGTCCCCCGAGTCGATCCTGCCGTGTCTTCACATCGGTGTGCTGTAAGTGTTGGTAAAAAAGTGTGGTAACTATGGTTGGTGCGCTCGTGAGCGCATTCGTAATGTGTTTTTTGTTAAGTGTCTCGGAATTCATTCACGTGCATTCATTAAATCTGTTATTGACGTGGTCGTGTGGTATCTATGTGCACGTTCTCGATCGTCGTTTTACAGTATGCTTTCTGCATCTCATTAGTAACATCTGTTAGCGCATACTATGATTGCATTAGGTGGTATTTTTAAAATTGTAATGTTTTGTGCTGTCATTTTTTCAGAGTAAGGTGTAAGGATTGTATATATTTTGCTTTTGTTGATTTCAGAAAGTTCAGCGGAATGCTTCCAATATACAATCACTGGATCAACAAATCAGTTCGCAACAATTCACATGGGCCAAGGTGAAGGTGTGAGCATTTTCTAAATGTTTGTTAGCAAATATTGGAAAAGTCCCTACTGTGCCTTCAAAGATGCTACCATCTTAACTGTGGGACAATATACAAGAAGGACTCTTGTATAGACTCGATTCGGTAATTGCAGTTGGCATGCTCATGTAAGTTGTATGCTATGTAAAGCACACCAATTTAGTGATAGTGTTTTATAAACATTGGATGAACTATACAAACCAGTCTGTTTAATGATAGTACTTGGAAATATTTCTGCTTGTTGTTACTGACTAGGTAGCCTATGAATTGTAATATATTGTATATACATGTAAATGTCTAAACTCATCTCATATTCAAGTTTTAGATAAACACCATTGGACATTATTATTGTCAGTTACAAGTTCCACCTAATACACCAAAGTCTGTATGTTCTCATCTTGTCATTTAAGTTTACATGTGTCAACATTTCTGTAAAGCCACACATGCAATTGTGGGAGCACGCAAGTGTCCGATTGTATAATTTTCAGTATTTCTCTGTCGTTAACATTGCCTGCAATGTAGAACTCACTCACAACGAAACCGCTGCTGTCTGCAAGAAACTAGGATACGATGGCTTACGTAAATTGGAGTTCGGTATTTTCATTTATGACAAGTGTTTATTCTGAGTCTCTCTGGTAAGATTATATATACTGTAACGTTTTACTGCAGGTCATCAAACATTGTAAGAATTAGCAATGTTTAGGTCCCTTGCCATGACTTGGAATAAAAGTGGAAGTCTCTAGACCAGAAAACAACCAAGCAATTCAAAAGTTTGAAGAATAAGAATATAAAAACATTGATATTGGACTCTTTAAAGTATTTGTTTTTTTCATGCAGGATCATCTTCTGGTACTATCTAAGTATTGGAGTAATCGTAAGCATAATATGGTTAGCTGTAAATGGTTTTGATTGCAGTTTGCTATCAGAATTCTCTCAGGTGGAGATTTTCATACATTGTAGATATTTTGATATTATGTACGTGCAGTACATAAAGAAATTATCGGGAATACCTTCACGTACCTGATGTTGTCGAATATAGTATGGCTTTGTATTTAAATAACATTGGTCGAATCTTTGCAATTAATTTGAGAATAAAATTGTAAAAAAACAGTTATTATTTATATTTTTCATTCATTCATTATTTTATACACATCCACATATATTGTACATTTTTGATGTGTTTGAGGATGTGTTTTATGCACCCATTAGATACAATAATGTAACCCAACTAGAGTAGGGGGCACTCTAGTAGCTACTGTAACTCTAGTTGGGTTACATTATTGTATCTATGCACCCATGTACCACGACCAGAAATGTTTTGACAAATGTAAATTTATGAGCGTTACGTGCCAACCCACGTTATGCCCTCTGCGACACTTGGTACTTGCCCTATGCCAAATGCACATTGTCATGAACATGTATACTTGATATAGATATATGTGTGTTATTATGAATAGTTATTTATATGCCAGTGTATCAGGAGTACATGAATGAGAGAGACTCTCAGTCTCATCATGTACTCCTGATTGTATGGCGTGTTTTTGAGCATATGACAAGTTTTTCAAATAATTTTATTTTGTAAATTCAGCAACAATTTCTATCAAAAAGCAAACAAATCAGAAAGTCTTCCCCCTATTGCCCTGCCCTGCCATTTCGTTGGAGTTGGATAGGAGACGTGGGTCGCATCCTACAAGTTGCAATACATCCTCCTTACATATTCCTCACAACATGCTGCCCTATTTACTTATTGCATTAAACTATTTCTACCGAAAATCGAAGGAAGATGGCGCTGCAGCTGCATAAGAGCGGGAAATCCATATTCTTCTAAAGTTTGCAGGTAAACATTCTCTGATTCTGGTGACCTGGTCACAGGTCAGTGCTCATACTTATGTGCGTAAATAAACCTAAGTACAGCTGAAATACTATCACTGCTACACGATACCTGTATTTCCCAGGGGTGTTTGTTGTCCGTCACGCGTACGTACCTTGCCTAGGTACAGGCAGATAGTCCGACAAGGCTGAAGGCTGAAGCGACTACATCCGTGTAAATGAATTTCTCTCGTTTTTATAATATTACTATTACTATTAGCCTAGGAACTTGTTTTATTGTAGTTTGTAGCCTATTTGCCTGTATGATCTGCGATTATCCGTGCAATAAACTTTATTTGAATTTGAATTTGACTTTGAAAATGCTGCGATTGCCGGCGCAGATGGGGTCGTTGTCGTATCATTATCAAGTACTACAGAGTACAGTACAGATATGTACCCGAGGTAGTTTTAGGTTGTTTAGTATTATGTTTATATTTTTATATGAGGTATGTTTAGGGTTAGGGTTAGGGTACACTTCTGTAGTACAAGTCTGGTACACTTTGTGTATACATATATGGGTACAAGTAGCGTTTACACACCCATGTTGTGAGTTTGGTTAGGGTTAGGGTTAGGGTTAGGGTTTTTAAACCTGGGGTTGTCAAATAGGAATGGGCCCATATATGTACCTAGGGTACATATCTGTAGTACCCGATACGACAAGGACCCCTTCAGCGTGATTGGCGGTACGGTGTTTTGCAGCTGGCGCTATAGGTACGGTACTCGGTAGCCAGGGATATACTGATCGGAATAATTATTAATTTAATATTAGGCCGTGGCTAATCGACCGGTTCCGGACGAGGAGCCGCTAGGCTACGCGTCCGGACATACATCTCACACAGTGATCTTGCGACACGTACACGCATGATTGCGCAACGGGATGCTCTGCTGATTGCCGAGTGTGTGTGTGTGTGCGTGAGAGAGAGAGAGGGAATGTGTATGTGTGAGAGAGAGAGAGAGAGAGAGAGAAGAGAGAGGAAGAAGAGGAAGTAGGAGCTAGAGAGCTGTGTGTGTGACAGAGGAGAGAGAGAGAAGAGAGAGCTAGAGGTGTTGTGTGTGTGGTATGAGAGAGAAAGATGAGGAGAGATGAGAGAGAGCGAGGCTTGAGAGTGTTGAGATGAGAGAGAGAAGAGAGAGAGAGAGAGAGAGAGAGAGAGCGAGAGAAGAGAGAGAGAGAGAGAGAGGAGAGAGAGAGAGGCTGTGCGTGTGTGTGTGAAAGAGAGAGCGACGAGAGCGAGACGAGCGAGAGAGGACGGATGAAAATGATAGAACGGCAGCAATGCATATATTGTATATTTACGGCAATCAGCAGAGCGTCCCGTTGCGCAACTCATGCGTGATGCAAGTCGGCGCGATCACTTGTGTGAGTGGATGTCCGGGATGCGTAGCCTGGAGACTAGGCGACCGGTTCCAGACGCGTAGCCACTGCGTTAATATTAATAAGGAAACGTTAAAGGTATATATATGCTATACACTTGTATTAAACGGATGTGTATGTATGCCCAAGCAAATTGAGGTGAAGGTAGTCCTGCCAGCCTGCCACACAACCCTGGGCTAGACGTGATGCGGCCATGATGCCGAGGCGCGCCGAGGATTGACACTTTGTGTCTTCCAATCACAGTCAACGCCGCACCTCACTATAATATTTTCAAAGGTGGGGACCCATTACAATACCAAATCGCCGATCTCAGGAACTAGGGCATTCTGCTAGGTTTCCTACGATAGAGTTTGGCACAAAAACGAAAATAACACGCTGTTTAACGCACTGCGCTACGTCCTTCTGTTGCATTTTCGCATCTCCGTAATCAGAATAAGCCCCGCCTTCTTCGTTGATGGGCATGAATGGGGCGTCACCGATGTGACCGGTTCCTTTCCCCAGCCTGTTTACTTTTCGTAAATAATGAAATGCCCGGCCGATGCATTTCGCATCGAACAGGAGAATTTTCTGTATTTTCACTCGCTGTTGGAAGTGAACGAGTGCGTCATTCATTGAACAATTCAATAAAACACACACAATCCCGCGGAACTGCGCGTCTCATCCGCGCGCAGCGCTTAGGATCAACAGCAAAGCTGTGCCACGCAATCTTGTGTCATGTCTCTCTGGATACAATAATGTGACCCAACAAGACTAATTCCCAAAAGAACCCTACTCTTGTTGGGTTACATTATTGTATCTAAACCCTGGGCCTGCTCGCATGGCAAGTGTCAGTGACAGTGACAGTGCCAGCACAGGATCAAGCCTTGATTCAAGAATAGTTTGGTACCCCGCAAATGTGTTTTCGTATATATGTGCTAAACTAACCCGGTGTGCTAAACTAGGATTTTCACACTGCATGACCTATTATACAGCGATCCCACGGCTGTGTCGTAGTCGTAGAGCTAGCCTAAGGCCATGGTGACAGTAGCTCTACCTGTGTACAGTCTATATTGTTCCACCCGTTGTTACACACAGTATGACCAGTTAGAGGTGAAGATAGATATATCCATCCAAGAGCACCCGTATGATAGGTTTTACAAATTTTGATCAGAAAATTACAAAATGAGTAACATTAGTGAAGGGATATGTGGTGGCACAGTACGTAGGTACGTGGTCCAGGTGCCTGAATTAATTCAATTGGGGAGTTAAACAAAATGTGGCAGACGTTAAATTTTTAAGAATACTTGCACTACATGGGCGTGGATTTTGTTAATGCTTCAACTGATATTTCAACATCCTGTCATTGTTCATGCATCCCCACACTTAATAAAACTTCATCCTTTGCTTTCTCACATTTCGATCAGTTCCGATTAGGCATGTTTACTGTACATGGAGATTGCAATGGATTCCAAAAAGAACACATGACTAGTGTGAAGAGGAGGCGTGTGGAGGAAGAACGCGAGATGAACGGGACCATGTCAAATAACAACACAGTTGGGGAGCAACCCTCCGGTAAGCTGCTGTAGGTGGTACATGTGTCTACATTTGTCATTATGTACAGCTGTAAAAATAGTGGACGACGAGACAAAGAGAAAATGGTGAATTAAAAATGCTTTGTATTTCATTGCACGTATACTGTTCTACTTTGTATCCTAGCTTCACGTCTTTTAGGCATGCCAGTTGTAAAAATGGTATATCCCATAGCTTGCTAAAGTTACTCGCTACTTTCATATTACAAGTCAGTGGAATTGAAAAACAATACGTTTGTGTCACATAACCACACACCGTAAATATACTTATAGATAACATGACAAAATTATATCTTTTTCGTTATGTGCACATTACTCTTTACTATAGCAAGATGCAGGAACTTTCTGCGCCTTGCTAGGAATCCGTGTGTGCTACAGTCAGAACAATGGAAGCCAGGATACGAGACCCTCTACACACCACTGCAGGTAAAAATACATTCACATGCACGTGGACACTGAACAAGTATATATGATTGCAGGGGTAGAAATTAACTTTTGAACAAGGGAGGGAGTTCGTGGCAAAATAAGGGAGTCAGCAGTCTGAAGTTCAAAATTAAAGATATTAACAATAACGCATGTGCTTATTTTGAAGATTCATGCGGTTGCACGTCTGCCAAATTTTCTTTGGACATTTGCTGAAAAAATACAGTAATTCAGCAAGGCCGTGCTCCGAAACGAACTAGTTAGTATGGCAGAATTTTCAGGGAGTCACACGGACTCCTGCATATGTCAAATCAGGGAATCCGACAGTAAATCAGGGAGTATTTGACTCCGGACTCCCGTTAATTTCGCACCCCCATACGGGTATAGACGGGGTGGCAGGAAGGGGGTCGCGGGGGATATGGGCTGTACCACAGGTTGAACGGTGGGCTGGACAATGATATGTATGGGTATCATATTGGCTCGTGTTGGACATAGACGGGGACGCAGGTGAGCTGGAACGCAACAGTAGTACAAAATCGCTATCGCTGCTAGTGATTGTTTCTTGTAGTAAATACTGTGTGTCAGGTGACACTGATTGAATATACGTATTACCGTGACGGTATAGCATTTCACTAGTAGATGTGGCTGGCAACAATGGCATGGCTTTCCTATGAATTAAGCAATGTTAGAGCACATTGTTTATCCTTTAGGAGGATGTAATGATCAACTTGCGTCATACGGAGCAAATATCCTTCAGCTCTGGATGTTTCTTTATTGCCGACATGGCCGGAAACTACCTCAAGAAAGACTCAGGTTTGTCCACGAGAACTTTTGTTGTTACGATTGATGGTAAGGTCGGACGCAAGGTTTAACAAGAGAAATTTCTGCTGGTTTTTACACCTCCAGTGAAATCAGCAATGAACCGTGTAGGTGGCCATTTGTAACATGCATTGGAGAAACCACATGCAGATGTGTCCTTGGTATGAGCACAGAGATAGAGACTAAAAAGTACAGAGCTCAAATAACCCATGGCTGTTTTTCTTCCAAGAATTGTACAGCAGACTAAGAATTTTTTCCACATTTCTTTGCTGAAAAGAGAATAGAAGGTGCATTTTTTTTAATGTTTGTATTATTGCTGCAGGTAATGTAATTAATCTATGGAGATATGACAATGAAGCGAGACGTCTGTATGTCGCACGCTCACTTCTATTTACCAACTGGCAGGTATGTATACAGCAGCTATAGGTGTAGCACAAAGGCTAGCATGAATTTAGCTTCGCCTAGAGTTATTAGAATACAACAGTGCACATATATATATATCAGAAGTAGATAATAGGGAAGGAGTGTGACTTCAATAAACAAGGGAAATTTGTTATTTACTAACCTTAGAATACCTACGATTTACTACGCGTAACTCAACAAACTTGAGATCAAATCGTACACAGTACATTCGCCTAGCATCATGCGAAATCGTTTCCTCTTATACACCCGCATTCCGGAGATACAGACAAAAACGTACGACACAATTTTCCATTCTGTTGCCAGCAAACTCGATGTGTTAACCGCCTAACTCGAAACAAAATGCAGCTACTAACGACTCTTGCGCCCTCGGCAATGCGGTGTGGCTCGCTGATCTAACCTTTGACCTATTTACAGCTGCCTTTTGTTTCGAGTTAGGCGGTTAACACATCGAGTTTGCTGGCAACAGAATGGAAAATCGTGTCGTACGGTTTAGTCTGTATCTCCAGATTGCGGGTGTATAAGAGGAAACGATTTCGCACGATGCTAGGCGAATGTACTGTGTACGATTTGAGCTCAAGTTGGTTGAGTTACGCGTAGTAAATCGTAGGTATTCTAAGGCTAGTAAATGACGATTTTCCCTTGTTTATTGAAGTTACACTCCTGATATATATGCTATTCAGCCAGTAGCAGCTGCTCTGTAAAGGCTAGTAGTGTATGCAATGTGTGTTTCCCAACTTGGACAATCTGACCATGCCCCACGTTACGAAAATTAGTGAAATGCATTCGCTTAAAGTGATTACGTCACGAATTTCTAGCACCATCCAGTAGTATATTTGCGTGTTATTTGTACAAAATAAAATGTATGAAAATAAAATTAGTGTTTCTGTTTACTTTTCATGCTTATATACCTTCTTTATATGCCCTAATTTGCCGGTGAAAAACAGAGAGACGCCAGTATCTGAACAGTACTGAGGGAATAGTGTTAGACAACAGAAATTACCAAATCGTCTAGATTTTTGCAAAACATTTACAAACGTAAAAACATTTTTATCAGGTGAGAGTTTGAGGATATATTTAGTAACGTTAGTTCTTACTTTTAATGTAAAAAAAATGGCAATTTTTTTTTACAAATTTTACTATGGAAAATTCGTGACATAGTCAATTTAAGTGCTGTAATGGATTTAGAAAAACCCAACAACACTCACGTATCAACAACTAACCATCCCTGATAGCCATGTACCATTTATATGCTATGGTGTCCTGTGTTATAATTTTGATATCTATCTGCTAGGTCTATGAAGATTGTCTGTCCCAACTAGACTTCACCTGAAGCTACACTACTCACATCGCCAAGTATTATAATGCCATGGCACAGCATAACCAGAAGTAAACTGCCAAGCTGCCACTGGGTATGCTAGTGGAAATCAGGGTGAGAACGTGAAATTAATGTACGTATGTTTTTAGGTCGATTGTTTTACACACCGATAACGGAGTTTTACAAGCCATTTTAGAATGAGTGTTTTAGATAATTATATCCTTCCATATTCAGTTAATGAACATTTACAATGCATGTAAATTCCTAAAATTTGCATCTTTAACTTGTGAGCCTTTGTGTATAACTGTTCTTCATTCATTTAGTTTTGTTGTTAGAAAATCTCTCTCTGAAACACATCATGTATAACTAGTTTTCATATAATAATATCGGGAGTGTATAGATAATAATAATAATAATAATAATAATAATCTATTATTATACACTCCTGATAATGTGTAGCTATTTTTCAGTACAACATTATAGTCATAATTTTTTCTTGACGTTTGGTACCTTTCTTGATGTTTGAGTGAATTGTATACTAACACGTTTATATTTGTGTGCATTTTCGATGGTGCTGAACGCTTGACATTTTCCAAGTTGTGGTTGTACATAATTATGTCGATATGTGGATGGGAAATATAGCTAGCTTTGCGTGTGTGCACGTCTAAGTATTGTCAGTGTAAATATAGTAATCTCCTGGCTAGGATTATGTGTAGAATATGGAACGAGACACTATAGAAAATCAGAGATTTATATAATTAATGGAAAGTTTTTATGCTGCACATATCATCATTTATTAATTTTATAGCTTTGCATTTATATTGGTGACTGTCAAAATATAACTGTCAGCCCAAAATAGAAGTTAGCGTTGTTGTTTTTTAATGATTGTTCGGGCACATCCTATAATTTTCTCTTTCAACGAAATATCATGAGAATATGGACTTAAATCGTGGATAATAAAAATTACACATTACACAAATAAGTTCCACGATAATATACTCGTAAACACTTGTTAGTCTGTTTACAAACAACACGACGTAGCACAGATTTACAAGTTTGCATCATCGATCAGCATGGAAAAACATGCAATACTCGAAGTAAAGAACCGGAGACTATAGGTATACAATTAGGTATTAATAAAAAAGTGAAAACGATAAACACACTTTGGCACCATAATATTAATAGATAGTAGCAGACTCCCATTTAACATAAATGCGATTCAAGCCAAAGAGTAATTGCGAATACACTGGTATGATATTAACTAGTGCATCGGACCTACCACTGTTATACAGCAGATCTCAGCAGAATTCTGCCACCAACAGATCGTGTTGATTTTAGCGCGTGCACTGGCTATAGTCGGGTATCAACGCAACACGGTTTATTAGGAAAAGATTTTTATGTGGCTTAAATATTAGGGTTCTGGAAAATGAACATTCTTAGTCCTAAAAAAGTTGGTAAAAATCTGTTTTCCTGTGGTCTATGAACACTGTACATTGCCAAAAATCAGACAGCTTTACTTTTCTCGCGGTAATGAGCATGGCACGAAACAATGCTGGTATTTTGGGGGGGATCAGCCTGAATCTCATGAAATATTCACGTGAAAAAACACTCCGTTGCAGAGTTCTACAGATCGAGGGAAACTCGTTTCGAGTTCCGCGCCCCGCCATCATGGCGAAGGGTACGTCTGCCGTGATGGAATACCTACGCAGTCGCATACCAACCTAATCCGAGCTCAGGGAGCGCCATGAGGAGCGCGTGCCCTGATGGAGATATATTCGCGTCAAAGTAGAACTAGAAGGTGAGTGGGAAGGTCTATATATGGATTCAAGCGTCGTCTGAGTAATCACAAGTATACGTGCTAGGATGTATCAGGAATAAATAATCACAAATTTTGTCATAAAATTTGTGATCATTTACTCCTGATTGTATACTAGCTACTACCTCATCATGTAATGTGAGAGTGCAGAACGAAGAACTTGCAGACGTGTATAATTTTCTGACATAAAAACTGCCTTATAATATAGATTTTGTGCACGAGTAATTTGTCATTACCTCTGTGATTTTGTCTTTTGATGTATCGCATAATCTGATTTTGTGTGATTGTGTGTGAGATATATTGAGTGTAGATTGTGTGTGTAGTCTGATCTAAAATTCAAAATCGTAAAGGAAAATTGCTTGTTAATATATATTAATACACCGTGAGTTTCCACAGGTGCATAGCATGAGATTTGAAAATAATCGCAGGAGTTATTTATAGCATAAATTGACCTTACATATGAAAATCTTGGCACGTGCTGATCATGTGTTTAACTAATAATCAAGAATGTGTACATGCTTGTGGGCGCATGTATGCAGCTTCGTTTACACCATTCACAATGACCTTACATATGTAAATCTTATCGCGTGCTCATTGCGTGTTCATCGCCCGTGCTCAGGTTCAAGTCGCTGCCCAGTTGCATCTACAAGATGCGCTCACTCGAGAACCTCCTCGCTTCCGACAACGGCATCGGCGACGTGGACGCGCAGCAGCTGGGGGAGCTGAGCATGCTGGCTGTGCTCGACCTTCACAACAACTACCTTCAGAAGATCCCACCCGAACTCGGCCTGCTGGAAACGCTGAGGTAACGGCCGCCCCCCGCAGACATCGTCGTGGAAACCAGAGGCTGGCTGCGAAACTGACTGTTTGCAGTGTCGATCATAGTGTCTTAGCTTCGGTAGTTCCTTACTGGAACCTGCTCCCGTCGTCTATAGTAAACTGTGATATTGAAACCTTCTCCGCTGCTGTTTGCAGTGTTGATCTATCCACCTGGTCGGCCCCGCACCCTGTCATCGTTACAGTCCCTTGCACTGTGAAGAGTTACCATTACGAGTTTACGAGATTACAGCGTATAGATAGCGAAATTTATATCTTGGTATAATGCTAAAGCTAGGTAACTAGCAATCTGATCGACGTCCTTTCGACTCTGAAGAGTTATAATGATGAGATTAAAACATTTTCCGAGGTGATGCACACAGTGTGTAGCCACACTGGAGTTTTTGCGAGCGCTGCGTGACTTAGGGGGAAATCTTGAAAACGCCAAATTAGCAACGCGCACCAATCTACCTTACTTTCCAATTTACTTTTACCAGGGTATGATAAAACCCTATCGTGATTAGGTGCATGAGGTACGTGGATGGTGTGAACGATGATGCATACACGTGCCCACAAGTATGTACACATTCTTGATTATAAGTGCTTGGTAACTGTCATTACTCTAACATATCATGTGATAAGATTCTCAACAATCGATTTTCGATTCTCGAACGAAAAATTTAAAACGATCAATGCATCACAGTGATAAGAGTAAACCACCGAGCTGATATATATGGGCTATATTGTTTGTTGCATGCACAGAGTATACTTGTAACATCTACCTGTTGAAGGAAATGTTCAAGTCTCTCAAGCCAACCAATGACTGCAAGGAGTCGGGAAGACTGGACAGCTGGTTGTTCCTAAAAAATATTGATAGCAATATTATAGAATGCAAATGTTCTACATATGCATATAATACATAAACAGACATATATAACTATATTACACATGTATTTATTCATTTACTTATACGTTAACACAAATACAGAATCACAACTATACCGTATGTAACACTGGCGCCTCCAATGTGGGCAAGGTCAAGATGAATCGTATTAGGTTGATCAAACTAAAGTGACACAACTGCCACTCAAATTCCAGCTTTTGTGTAATATTTGCATCCCTCTACATACCTCAGATCTAGCACAATAAGCTTGCAGCAGACGGACAGCTCTGGCATTACAGAGGTGAGTTTGTTGCTTCCAAGATTCACCTCGTTCAGGGAAGCTGACAGCATCGTTATACTGAAATAACCAATTCGCGTCGATTTTTGGTGGGGAGAGCGTGAATAGTTTTTGTTTTTGTTTCTTGCCAGCAACAAGCCTGCGACAGATGTTCCGGACGAGATGTGGGTCTCGGCGAAGGAAAGTGGAGTTCTAGCAGTGAACCTAAGCAAAAACAACTTGCAGGCGATTCCATCAAGGTGATAATCTCGTACTTCTGTTATCACAATAGACCCAACCACAACTTCCACATTTCAATCTTCGGAGGTCTAACACCTCTATGCACATGAAGTTTTTCTAGAGCAGAATACAACCACGCTAGCAGGTGTTTTACGTCTGTTATATATACCATGTCTGGGTAATGCTGATAGTTAAAAAAACAGTCATAAAAATTAGTAGCATGTGTGTGTACGGGTGCTGAAATTTTCATACACATAATCAAGTCATTTACATTTGGAACACCTCTAACTGTAGTATCAAACAAAACGAAAGTGCCACAGAAGCTGTGCAACAGTGCAGTACATAGAAAGCATGAAGCTAACGTAGTTACATACGAGAAACAGACACAACATTCAAGGGAAGATTATGAATTCGTACGATCAAAACTGATTATAAATGCAAACCTTCACTTAGTCAAGGAACGAAGATTCAAATCTTATCTGAAGACATTCACAAACAGAGAAAGAATATTCGAATATTATCCGAAGAACATTCACAAACAAACAAAAATTCAAATTTTATTATAGCATGTTTACTTGCACTTGCCAGTCAAACAACATACCTGTGTAAACGCATACACTCCTCACCTGTGATCTAGGCAATGTGTGACCTTAAGCATGTGCTTGGTCTGCCTCGCTAGGTAGGCGTCGTCCGCCCAAGGTAGAGCGCATTCCTCCGACAACTGTTCGCCCTCTGGTGGCTCGGGTTCTTGGATTCGGCTGCGGAGAAACTGGAGCAGTTCCGGCGTTCCACGCTGCATGATGTCGCGCCTTATGTTTCTGACTGCATTGCCCTCTATGAGCAGCGACTTCAAGTTCGACATTTTGCCAACTTCGTAGGGAATGCTGTCAAGATAAAAGTGTTCGTCCTCATTAGAAGCCAATTTAATTAAGCGCATTAATTGCTGCTGGCAATTATTCCTCATGATTACAATAAGAATAACATCAATCACACTGAGACAAGTGGTCACATAAACACTTATACTCATACACGGATGTGCCTGTGAATGCTGTGTGATATGCAATACTACGACTGAAATAAAAGACAACTTGCGTTAATAACCACAATTAATAAATACACAGACTCTACAAATCTCTACCACTAATGTCCATCCACACTCTACATTATGAAGGTCTATGTATTTATGATACAAAAAGATATACGTATTGGTGGCTATGAAAACAATTGACTTAAAATACGCAATACTGGTAGCCAAATAGCCCGTGCTTCTGTTCCAAGCGTCACAGCTCTAGATCGGTAAATTCCTTTCAGACGCTTAAACCTTTACGTTTTTAGTTCATTATTCGTGAGATCGAGTCTTTCCAGGCTGGTGAGCAATGTTATCTCTTCTGGGAGATCAGTTATCTTATTGTCTCTCAGGTCCAGTATGGTGACAGAAAGAAGTTGTTCAAGTTGCTTCGATGTCAACATCTTAATTCTGTTGTTGCCCAAGTGTAGCTCCTGTGGGAAAAATAATATAGCTATGAGCCAGTCAGCAAGTCAGTCAGCTCTTAATAGCCAACATCACACACACACACCTATTATATGAGGTTGGCTCATCTTTATGAGACAACACCACACAAAAATCTCAACAACCAGATTATACAAACAAGAGCCGCAGAGCGTCTGGGCTCATCTGAGGTCTGTTGCTACGATTATAAACGTAAAATTT